AGAGCTGACCGTGCGAGGCGCCTCCGCCGCTCTGCGTCGGTGTGAACAGCGAAGCGCTCCCGAGCCGTGTCTCCGTGTCCCCCCGGCCCCGCGGGTCTCCGATGTCCCGGTCGGACCGGCGCTCCCCCCTCCCTCCAGCCCCCCCAGACACCAGCAGGTTTCCCATCACGGGGTCAGTCCCACAGCACTTCTCTGCCAGGATTTAGGCTTGGAGCCCTTGGTGAGCTGCTCTTGGGCATTTACATCCCTTATTAGGGGTTTATAGTGTAGAATACTTTTTTGTTATTAAAAGAGGTGACCTAAGTGTCATTTAAATCTCTTGTAAGAGCTGTAAGTGCCGTGGAGCAGCCCCGAGGCTGTTGGCTGGTTCTGTCTGTGGGGGATCCCACTCCTCACTGTTAGCTGTGCTGCTCTAGCTCAGTGCCCTCAGAGACCTGTCAGTTTTGGTCACTGAAATCCAGTTCCATGGACATCTGGTTGCCCAAATGACGTCATGGCAAGGCTGATCTAACCCTGTTTTCCAGAGGTGGCCTATTCCCAGAGCACTGGGCAGAAGGAGCAGCTGAGCCGCTGCCTGCAGCGAGGTAAGAGTGTTCCCTCCTCACCCTGAGCCTTTCTGCTTGCTGATCCAGTTTGTTTCACTTGTTTCCAATGGTAAAAAGGGGTAAAAGCCTTTGATCTGATGGCAGAGCCTGGAGAAGGCATTTGGTGCCTCACCTGCACCAGGATGAGGCATTTTGGTATCTGGGAGGTGTTTTGGTGCTGTCTCTGGGACTGCAGTGCTCCTGTGCCTGTGCCTGGGCTGGGTGAATGCTGCCTGAATGGAATTCTGAGAGAGGTTTGTCTCAGAAGCTACTTGTTCCCACCTCTGAGGGCAGTGCCTTCCCACAGGGATCCGGCGGGTCCAGGACCTCTGCAAAGTCCTGCAGCTCCCAGCGGTGTTCGAGGAAACAGCTGTGTCCTACTTCCAGAGGGCTGTCCAGCTCCCTGCCTTCCACCTGGTCAGCCTGGAGAAGAAGGAGCTGCTGGGAGGCTGCTGTGTGTTCGTGACATGTCGCCAGCACAACTGGCCCCTGACCATGGGCACCATCTGCTCCCTGCTCTATGCGAAGCAGGAGCTGTTTGCCAGCGTCTACGTGAGGCTCCAGAAGGAGCTGGAGCTCTCTGTGCCTGCCCTGAGCCTGGCAGACCTGGTGAAGACACACCTGAACAGGTAGCAGAGTCCCTCTCAGCCTTTATGGAGCTCTGTGTTTTCCATGGGTGGGTGGAACAGCTGGGACGTGGCTGTGGTTGGGGCAGGGACCAGCTGTGGCAACCTGTGTGACACACGCACTGCCCATGGCTGTGTGCGCAGTCTGTGATGGCTTTTGTACCTCCCTTGTCACACCTGGGCTGTGATTCTCATCCTGCCCCATTCTCCTCTGTTTGGAGAGGGCAGGGAGGTGCTCAGGGAGGTACCATAAGTCACACAGAATCTCAGAATCATCCAGGTTGAAAAAGGCCTTTGGGACTATTGAGTCCAGCCTGTGACCCATCACCACATTATCAGCTAGCCAGAGGACTAAGTGCCATGTCTAGTTGTTCCTTGAACACCTCCAGGGATGGTGACTCCACCACTTCCCTGGGCAGTTCCAGTGCCTGACAGCCCTTTCCATGAAGGAATCCCTTCTGATGTCCATGAGCAGCAGGAGTAGGGTGTGTTTTTCCCAAACCTCTTTTCTCCTGCAGTTTCCGGCTATTCAAGCCCACAGGCAACGTCCCTGTGCCATTCCAGGAGGACAAGGAGAAGCTGGTGGCCCGGACAATGAGCATTGTGGAGTTGGCCAGTGAGACGTGGCTGGTCACCGGCCGCCACCCCGTGCCCGTGGTCACGGCCGCAGCCTTCCTGGCCTGGCAGTCGTTGCAGCCCAGCTCCCGCCTCTCCTGCCCCCTGGCTCGGTTCTGCCAGCTGGCAGGTGTGGATGTGCCACCCCCAGCACACCTGAGGCTGAAGGAGCTGCTGGAGATCCTCCTGGGAATGGCCTCCAAGCTCGCCTG